CCTGCGATGTCTGCGTCCGCAGCTGCAGGCCGGACAGGACAGGGTCGCCTCTGGGTGGCAAACTCCACTCAGCAGCAGAGCACAGAGGGCCTGGGATTTGGAAGCCGGCGTGGGCAAGGCTGCTTGGCGGAGCTCTTGCCTAAGGGACGCCTGAGGTTGGAGGGCATTTGGCTCTGGAGATTTAGGGTCCAGATATATAAATGTTGGACGTGTGTCGGGGACCAGGGTCTTTTTACCTTATGTATTCTGAAGAGCCTTTGGGTGAACGTCTAACTTATTTTTTATGTAGGTAGTATACACTCGTAAAATAAACCATAAACTAGATGAAGAAATAGCTACCCCAGCCCCCCCTTCTACTGCTGTCATTTTGGCCTAATTTCGGTATCCTTTCCGGCACATGGGTGTGTGCACAGTCTCTCTAAACAAGAGAACGAGGCTTATCCACACATACTATGTGGATACCTGGTGGGTTTCGTTGTGTAGATTTTTTTTTATTTAAATATTTTATTTTATATAATTCTTACATCTTTTTTCATCTTTGCACACTTGTGTTTGTTTTTTAACTTAACAAAATAACCTCTGTGTCTTGTTTATACTTGTTCGGTGTCCAAAGATATTATCATCTCTCTTCCTTCTTTCTCGTTACTCAAATCCCTGTTTGCCTTTCTTATCAGAACATCAAATATCGTCCTCTTCTGGCTCATGGCTTCTCTCCAGCCTCATGATTTCCCACAAAGTCTGGGGTCCTTTCCGTCCTAAGGGGTCAGTCAGCCAGGCACAGAAGAGCGGTCATGGGCCACATCAATGGTTCTTTGGGTTCTCGCCACAAGGCGTTACTGTGGCGTGCCAGCCCCAGCCCCAGCAGCCCTGGCTGCATGCAACGTGCAGCATTGCACACACACTTCTGGAGTGACTGCCTGGCGGCAGCACTGAGGCTGCGGCAGGGAACAGAAGGGAGCATATGTGAAAGAGGTCATTGGCTGGGAATCCCCATGCGTGCCCTTCTGTATTCTCGCTGTCTAGCTGCTCCTCATCAAAGGCCCTCCTGACTCGGGGATGTCCTTTCGCGGGAAGATATTTATTTAGTAGCATCTCTGGCTTCTTCATACCCGAGGGCAGTAGCACCCCTTCCCCAGCCCCCGTCACACAAATGTCTCTCTGGATGTTTCCAAATGTTCCTGCCGCCGGGGTAAGGGACTCACCCCCAGCGGACGAAAGGTCATGTTATTCTTTAGCCCAGTGCTGTGGACTCTGCTAACACCTGTGTGCTTGAGAGGGGCCTCTCAGTCACTCAGTATGACAAAAATCTGCTCCGAGGCGACGTCTCCCAATTACCAGGGGGTAAGCAGTTTAAAAAAAATCGCACCAAGCTCCCCTGTATCATAAACGCCTCTGACAATAAGCCCCCTTCATTTCAGCGCCTGAACACCACCACTGTCTATTTATTTATTCCGCCAGCCTCCTATTTTCAGACATTTGGGTTGTGTTCACATTTCCTTGTTATCAGCCGAGCCGCCCTGAAGGGCTCTGAGCTGGCTATTTCTTTGGTGTGGATTCATAGGCGGCCTCGGGTTTGCATATTTAAAGGCTTCTGGTGAGCATGGCCTTACTGCCCTCCAAACGTGCCTGCCGACATCTGCCTCTCCGGCTCCTGCAGCCCCTTATTGAAATACATGAGCGTGAGCATGTGAGGTTCTCTCGATTGTTTGTACCTTCGCATCAGTCACGCAGCTGAGCTGGGCAAAGCCCTTGAAAGAGTTGGTTGGTGTCAGTTGGTCCCAGAGATATTTATGTCAGCCTTGTGCCCACCGCAGCCATCCCTGGTACTGTCCTGCGGGGCCAGGCCTTGAGGACTCTCTCTCACCTGGGGTTTTTCAAATGTTTTTGACCATCACAAAGAAACAATTAATATTGCAACTTTGTACATACATACATGTACAATACAACTTTGTACACACATACGTGCATGCGGACACACAACCAGGCACACACACATGCAGTCTTATACACAATACACACATGCACATGTGCACACAACCTTGAGCACAACACACATGTGTACACACAACCTTGCACACAATGAACACATGCACACAGCCCTGTGCACAGCACACACACGCACAATATGCAGACGTGCACACAACCCTGTACACAATATGCATGTACCCACATACACATATACACATGTGCACACATAACCTAAGCGTCCTGCAACAGTTATTCTTACTATGATGACATTTTACACCATTTCTGTTTTGTTCCATATCATTTACCAAGTCCCGTGTCCACCCGTCACTTATGGATTGTGCCCCGTGGTTTAAAAACTCGGATTTGGGTCCCCCAAGGCTTATTTCCCACCTTCCCCAGCAGCTCAGACCTGCTGTGTCTGGCCACAGAGACCAGCCTCGGAGCCACAGGGACCCGGAGGCCAAGTTCTCACCTAGTCCCTACAGCTCTGCGCCCGGAGGTCAGCAGGGAAAGCAGCTTGGCTCAGATGTCTTCATAAAGGCTGGCCCGCTCAGCGCTGACTTTCCCTGAGTGTATACTGCTGCCCTTCCCGTATGGAGCAGTGACACTTTCCACATTTTAATTTTAATTTAAACCTTGGGGGGGAGTGTTGCCTTGCTGTGGCAGCAGCGCAGGTTGAAAGAATACTGAGTCCAAGGAGAGAGGCCTGGAGGGGCTTTTCTCTTAAAAAGTGCTGCCCAGGGCCTCCCCTGGTGGCGCAGCGGTTGAGCGCTGGGCTGTGAGGCTGCCCGCAGCCTCTGCAGCGCCGGTTCGTTCCCTGGCCGCCGTGAGGGTCCCACAAAAAAAAAAAAAAGTGCTGCCCAATCTCTGGGAAGTCCCATTTTTATCTAGACCCGGGTTCAGAGAAGGTGGGCAGGTATGTGGAGGAATGTACATCGTGGGGGTGCGTTCTCAGGGATGCGTTACCATCTGGTGCAAGCTAGGCTGAGTGACCAGGGGCCATTGCTTGGGGGGCTCCATAGTTCCCACTAATCAAACACACCGTCTCTAATCCCAATTCTTACCTAACGTTCTGCTGAGCTTTCCAACCAAGTATGGTATTTAGCTGATCTTGCTAATCTGGCCATAATGTCCTCCAGCTGCTTTCAGAAGATCCTGGTTTTCTGGTATGAGAGGCCCTGGTGAGGGGCCCCTGCCTGCCTCTGCATTGTAGCCCGACCAGCAGGAACCCTGGGCACCTGAGAGCAGCCCTGAGAACAAAGAGGGCTGGGGATCCCAGGAAGGGATTTTTTTTCCTTTAATGGCTGCCTCTCTCCCCCACTGTACTACAAGCTGCCGGAGAGCAGGGACAAGCCTGTTTCTGCTCACCATTTTATTCCCCACTCAATATCTGGCACACAGTGGGGACTGAGTATTTCTCTGAATCACTCTCGATGGAGACAGAATGAATGAACAAACGCTTTATCACCCGCTGAGCATGCCGAGTAGTGATTGTCCGTTGCCTGGTCTGATTCCCTGGTCTGACTGTGACCTTCCCAAGGGCAGGTGCAGCACAACCTGGGTCCTCCCTGGTTCCCGTCTCTGCTGAAGGACAGGAGGAAAGCCCAATGCGGTGCTTGCTGCTCATCTCCACGAGGGGGCAGCAGTGAGCCACCCTGAGCGCTGCTTGGTTTCAATTCCCTACCTTCAAAAACTATCATTGGCGCTTTGAAGCTTCTAATTGTCTTGGAAGATGGATGGCGCCATCATTTTCTGACCCTCACCTTACCCAAAAATGTGATCCTAAGCTAAGGGACTGAAGGTGTGTGTGTGTGTGTGTGTGTGTGTGTGTGTGTAACCAGACTTCCTTCCTATTATATTTCTTCTTCCTGGTATCACCAGCTCTGGACCAGGGATCTGGAGTCTCCTACGGTGATGAAATAGGTTTGCCAATTCTGGTGTGTAGTGGGGACTCAGCGTGCCATTTGTTGAATGACTGAAGCAATGCAGATTGTGCTGAGAAACTGTCTTTATGTGCGGCCAAGACGTTATATGCGCGGCCTGCCCCCTTCTCCCCTGCTCCTCCCTTCTCATCCTTAGAAATAGGAGTCACCATATTTTTGAGTCATCCACTTAGTTTCTTCCTTGGATTCGGGATTATCTTTATTTCCTAGCACCCAAGGAGCCCCAGAGGTAGGAAGGCATAATCCTTCTTCTCTCTGACAAATTATAAGAGTGGTCTTACCCTGAAGCCAAAGAAAACTCAGTTGTTCTATCCACATGTTCAAGGGACCTGAAGCCTTGAGCTCTCTTGACCTTCCCTTATATGGGCTATGTCCTGACACACGGAAAAATTCATTCACCCTTGACATTTCTTGAGGCCTGAGATATGGCAGGTGCTGTTCTCGTTCCTGAAAATACTTGCTTAGAGGCCTGTCCCCATGGAGTTTACGGAGTGGTGGCGGGGAGAGAGGATGCACTGTCATTACTGGACGTATCATGTGAGATCAGGAGCCGGGTAAGTGCCGTGGATAAAAGACAAAGTGGAGCAGGCTGTGCCCTCCAGGGTTGGGGGTGGATGGCCATATTAAATAGAGTGGGCAACGCCGACCTCCAACCTCCTATGTCTTCCTTGCTGCTGTCTCCTTCTCAGTCCTCAATTATTTGCTAAAAGTATAGAGTGGAGGCTGATAAACTCTGGTTGCAATTCTGAGTTCGCCACTGTTAGTTAAGTGATTCTGAGTAGGTGTCTTGGATTCCGAGCAGCAGGGGGAACGGTGTTGTTGGGAGGATCACATGACAGGATGCGGGCAAAGCATAGGGACCGGCCTGGAGTAGGGATCCTCAGTAACTCTCACTGCTGCTGTGGTCGCCATCACATCGTTAGACCATGCCACTCCCGTCCTACGATGCCATCAACACCATTCCATTCCAATTTCTACCATCA